TTTTGCCACACATTCAAAGAAGAATTAATACCTATCCTCCTCAAACAATTCCAAAAATGTGAACAGATGGCCAAAAGATATATGAAAAGATGCTTACTAATCATCAGAGAAATGCAAATTAAAACCACAATGAGATTATCACTTCACACTTATCAGAATTGGTATCATCAATAAATCAACAAAACAAGTGTTGGCGAGGATGTACAGAAAAGGGAACTCTTGTGCACTATTGGTAGGATTGCAAATTGGTGCAACCACCATGAACAACTGTATGGAGGCTCCTCAAAAAATTAAAAATAGAACTACCATTTGACCCAGCTATCCCACTTCTGGGCATTTACTCAAAGAAATCCAAAACACTACTTCAAAAGGATACTAATGCATCCCAATGTTCACTGCAGCATTATTCACAATAGCCAAGATATGGAAGCAACCTAAGTGACTACTGATAGATAAGTGGATAATGGCCCTGGCCGGTTTGGCTCAGCGGTTAGAGCGTCGACCTGCGGTCCGGAGAGACCCGGGTTCGGTTCCCGCGAAGGGCATGTACCTTGGTTGCAGTTTGTCCCCGGCCCTGGTTGGTCGTGTGGGTGGCAGCCACTCGATGTGTCTCTTCACGTCGATGTTTCTCTCTCTCTCTCCCTCCCACTCTATCTGTACAAAAAATGGAAAAATATCCTCTGGTGAGGATTAAAAAAAGAAAAAAAAAAAAGATAAGTGGATAACGAAGATGTGATACATATATAATAAAATATTTTTCAGCCATAAAAAAAAAAAAGAAAGCTTGCCATTTGCAACAACATGGAGGACCTAGAAGGTATTATGTTAAGTGAAATAAGTCACACAGAGAAAGACAAATATCATGACTTCATTTATATGGGGAATCTAAAAAACAAAACAGAAACAAACTCATAGCCACAAAGAACAAACTGATGGCTACCAGATGAATAGGAGAAGCGGGGGGCAGGAGAGGCTGGGAAGCTAGTAAAAATGGTGAAGGGATTAAGAAGTACAAACTGGCAGTTACAAAGTAGTCATAAAGATGTAAAATATAGCTTAGGAAGTATAGTCAATAATATTGTAATAACTATGTATGTTGTCAGGGGCTACCAGACTTATCAGGGGATCACTTTGTAAGTTATATAAATGTCTAACCACCATGCCGTACACCTGAAACTAATATTTTAAATGTCAACTATAACTAAAGAAATCATTTAAATTTTTTTTTCCTTTATTGATTTTTGAAAGAGAGGAAGAAAGAGGGAGAAAAAGACAGAAACATTGATGAGAGAGAACACTGACTGGCCGCCTCCTGCACATCCCACACTGGGGATCAGGCCCACAACCTGGGTATGTGTCCTGACTGGGAATCGAACTAGTGACCTCTTGGTGCATGGGTCCACGCTCAACCACCGGCCGGACTAAAATTTTTTAGTAAATAAGTAAATACCATTCTGCAATAAAAGAAACCAAGGCTCCTTGAAAGATGTCAGATTCTAGAATTGGGGCAGGAAATTTACAAGATAAGTCTGAAGCATCTTTTAGTGTCAGAAAGTACAGAAGTGCTAAAAAAAAACACGACAGGAATATGTCAAAGATTCAAGTGGACCAATTTGACCAACAAAATAACACATAATGGAATTAAAACTCAAAGTATAAAATAAATTCCCATGAGTCTATACTGATATAAATATTTATATAAAAAATGGGAGAGAAGAGACAAATCTATTCTCCTCAAGGAGGTGGAGTTAACTCCCCACCACTATGTGTGGTCTCACATAGTGACATCCCTTCTCAGAGAACAATTAGAAAAGGGGAGAAAAACAGTGAGTTTATAGTGGAGAAAACTGAAAAATACTCCCTCAACCAGGTAACCACGGTCAACATCAAATGTGATTAGTGATGTTGATAGTATGTTCCCTTGATGTGATTAAAAACGGCACTTTACCTCTATGACCTTCCTTCCAAAAACCCATAACCCCAGCCTAATCATGAGAAAAACTTCAGGCAAACCCCATTAAGGGGCTTTCTACAAAATACTTTTAGCACTTCTCAGAACTATCAAAGTCATTCAATCAAGGCAAGTCTAAGAGGAGCCTGAGGAGACATGACAAGAGTGTAATGTCATCTCCTAGGATAGAAAAAACTAAGGAAATCTGCATACAGTATGGACTTTAGTTAATAATAACAGATCAGTACTGTCATTAGTGTGAAAAATGTAGACTGGTCATTGAGCACATCCAGGTGAACAAAACTCCTAAGATGCAGCACAGAACTTATGTAGCTCATGGGCACATTGAGACGATCCTCAGTGAAAAAGGAGCAGACTATTCCTAAACCAGAACAGGTAGATTGCACAGGAAAAAAAGATATTCCAGAAGAAACAAACACTTATGGCCCAGGAGTAAATTCAGCATAAAAATAAATGCTAATAAAAGTAAAACAGCCCTGGCTGCTTTGGCTCAGTGGTTAGAGCATCGGCCCATGGACCAGAGAGTACCGGGTTCGGTTCCCGATAAGGGAACGTACCTCGGATGCAGTCTATCTCCGGTCCCAGTTGGGGTCGTGTGGATGGCAACCAGTCAATGTGTCTCTCTCATGTCGATGTTTCTCTCTCTTCCTCCCTCTCTCTCTCCCATTCTATCTGAAGGCAAATGCAAAAATATCCTCGGGTGAGCATGAAAAAAAAAAAAGTTAAACAAACAAATAAACAAAAGCAAGACAGATTTAAGACTTATACTTAAGACCCCAAAATCTAAAATTCATAAAATAAAACATAGGTGAAAACTTCATGATATTGGATTTGGCAATGATTCTTGAATATGACACCAAAAACATGATGAACAAAAGCAAATATATACAAATGGGACTACATTAAATTTGAAAACTTAAAAGGTAACCGATGGAGCCCTGGTGTGGCTCAGCGGTTAGAGCGTCGGCCCACGGACCAAAGGGTTCCAAGTTCGATTCCCGGTCAAGAGCACACACCTGGGTTGCAGGTTCAATTCTCGGCCCTGGACACCTGTGGGAGGCAACCAATCAATGTGTCTCTCTCTTTCTTTCTCTTTCTCCCCCCGCCGCCCTCCCTCCCTTCCACTTTCTTTAAAAATCAATGGAAAAAATATCCTCAGGTTAGAATTAATTTTTTTAAAAAGGTAACCTATGGAATAGAAAAAAATTTGCAATCCCATCTCTGATAAGGGATTAATAATCCAGAATATAAAAAGAAATACAACGCAACAACAACAAAAATCAAATAGCCAAATTAAAAATGGGCAAGGGACTTGAATAGATACTTCTCAAAGATGATATACAAATGGCCAACAAGCATATGAAAAGATGTTCAACTTCACTAATCATCAGAGAAATGCAAATCAAAACCACAATAAGATACCACCTCACAACCATTAGGAAGGCTACTATCAAAAAAAAAAAAAGAAAGAAAGAAAAAGAAAATAGCAAGTGTTTTGAGGATGTGGAGAAATTGGAACCCTTGTACTGTACACTGTTAGATGAACTGCAAATTGGTGCAGCCATTATAGAAAACAGAATGGAAGTTCCTCAAAAATATAACTACTAAATGAACTAGCAACCCTACTTCCAGATATGTAGCCAAAATAACTGAAAGCAGAGTCTTGAAGAGGTATTTTCACACCCATGTTCATAACAGCACTATTCACAACAGCCAAGAAATAGAAGCAACCCAAAAATATGATACTACATACTTAAAATGGAATATTATTTAGCCTTTTTTCCCCCTTTATTGATATTAGAAAGAGAGAGAGGAAGGGAGAGGGAGAAAGAGATAGAAACACTGATGAGAGAGGACACTGACTGGCCATCTCCTGCATGTCCCCCACTGGGGATCAGGCCCACAACCTGGGCATGTGTCCTGACCAGGAATCTAACCGGCGACCTCTTGGTGCGTGGGTTGATGCTCAACCACTGAGCCACACCAGCCAGGTTTATTCAGGTTTTAAAAGAAAGGAAATTTTGATACAAGCTACAACACAGATGAACCTTGAGGTCATTATGCTAAATGAAATAACCAGTCACAAAAGAACAACAACTGTATGTTTCCACTTATAAGAGGCATCTAAAGTAGTCAAATTCATAGAAACAGAGTAGAATGGTGGTTACCAGGTGCTGGAAGAAGAGGGAGAGGGGAGTTGATTTGCGAGTACCAAGTGTCAGTATTACAAGACAAAAAAGTCCTAGAGATCTGTTTCTCTACTGTACTGTACACTTAAAAATGTTTAATATGGTAAATTTTATGTTTTTTATCATAATAAAAAAAGAAAAAAACCTTGACTACTATCTGTTGTAAATAGATGCAAAAAAATCCTTAACAAAATATAAACAAGCTGAGCATATATAATAATGTATAAAAAGGATTTCTAAAAAGGAAATAAATGGAGTTTTGACAGATGCCATTGACACATACCTCTGTTAGGGGCTCCACAGGAAAAAGAACCCCTCAAGTACAAGAGAGGGAATGCTGCCCCAGGTGGCAGTACTAGAGGGACCTCAGAGAAACGGCCACACTCCCCCAAGCAACAGAAACGCTCTGGACCCCATTCTCCAAAGGCAAATGCTCAGATCATGGGACAGGCATTGACAGAAACAAGAGATCTACATCTGAAAGACAGCAGAACTAAGGAAAAGCAAGAAGGTTGAACAGGGGAGGTTCTGAGTGTTTCCATGAAATGACAGTGGGCTATGGCTCCTTTTAAGATTTCACAGACCATTCCCAACCGCAGTGCTCTCTACATAAGAGAGAAGTAACATAAATTCTCTAGGCTTCAATTTCTTCAGCTGTGAAACAAGGTAATTCATTCCTGCAAGCTCTGATAGTCAACGAAATCTGAAATACATATTCCAGACCCTCTAAGGAGCTGAGTCTTCACTTCTCTCTTTGTCCCCAAATACTCAACCCATGACACAAGAGAATTAGGTATATCTTTACTGCAACGCATTCCATTCATCCATTTCTAACATACCTGGCGTGGAAGCTTACTTAGTGACCTCAGGTAGTCTTTGTCCAGAATACAGTTTCCAAGTGCATTTCCAAAGCTTCTAAGGGTAAGGAAAAAAAAGGGAAACAGGATTGAGAATTGTTGTATGTAAACATCAGAGAACAGAGTTACAACTCTGAGCAAGCTGCTTCTCAATGGCAGCAGAGGAAATGGACGCTAATACGCCTTTAAAACTGGTTATTGAGAATTGCCATGTTCCTTCACGGTTAGGTTGTGAGAATACAGCAGTGAGCATAACAGTCACAAATCCCTGTCCTCAATGAGAGGCAATGAATATGAAAGACTCGGAAACCATTTACAAAACCCCATTAGCTACCTCCTGACATGGAGCACAAATTCCAGAGCAGAGATCTTTTTTACCCACGACTGCTCCAATTCCCCAACAATGGGCCGGCCACTCACACTTAGGGGCTCAATTCTCCATGATTAAAGTTCTTTACCTGGCATATACACACTCTCTTATAGGCTATGGTATTGCAAAATTTTAGTACATGTTTATACATGTACTTTTCTGGTGATACAATTCACTTCAAATCTCAAAGGTATCTATGACCCAAAAAGGTTAATAGCCCTGCTCTATGTAAATAAGTTAACTACGTGACATGTACACAATGAAGAAGTGTTTAGGTGTGTTAAAGAGAACAAGGAAACTATCTATGTACTCATGTGGAAAGGAAGCAAGCGCAAAATCAAGTACAGAACAGAGAATAGTATTCTACCACTTACTCCCCAAAGCGGAGACTTAGGCATGTTGTAGCACTGGGAAAACACGGGAGTAGGAAAGCAGAGCAGACAGGGAGTGACACATATATTTTGATTTTTGGACAATGTGAATATAGTACCTTTTAAAAAAAAAACCAACACTGCTTTGAAACAGGAACTAAAATGAAGCAGATTAGACTCCAGCCCTTTTGCTTACCTCAGGGCTCGCTTCAGCCCATCCGTCACTGCCTCTTTTCTACCTTCTCCAAGGACAAGGCCTTTGACGTGAGGCCCTCACTAACACCATAGCTTACATCTTCATGATATGAACCATCCTGGAGGTAGAAAAGGAGTTCAAAGTCCAACATGAAAAGCTGCAGCTGTGTCTCTGGTTCTAAGCTCTTCTTTTCCTCAAGCAGCAGCGTTCACACTGGGTACATAGACCCCAGGGGCCTGCTAAAGGGCACACAGGCACAGAGAGTTTAAGAGAATCAATTTCAGTACTATTTCCTGGACTTGATCTGCTTGAAAATGTGGCTGTGGTCAAGACAATTCTCCTTCCCCACTTCCTCTTTCACATAAAAAATGCACATATCCAATCCACCCCAAATCTCACTAAAGAAGAATAAAAACTTCTGGGACACCAAACAAAAGGAATATTTTAAATATTATATTTAACAGACTATAATGATTGGACAGCAAATCCTTTCGCAAGTCATGAGTCATCCACTTCAGCAGTGAAGTGCACCTGACCAAGCTGTTCACATCTAGAGAATTTAATATAATTTCTGATGATAGCACTCTATGATTTTTGAAATATAACTCAGACAGCATTCAAAGCAACGAATGACACTATAACAAAACTCTTTCCACTTACTCACTTATAGTACTAAATACGGTTTTTCAGTACTATTTATAAAAATAAAAAGCCAGAATAGAATTAATGCTGAATAGAATGTTCTCTCTAGGAATGAATAATAGTAATACAAATGTTGATGGGAGTTATGTCTCTTCCACATAAGCACAGTTGACTAATCAACTGTATGCTAACAATACCTGTAACAGTCACTCAATCCAGAATAAATTTTTTATTATTTAGAGATTTCAGGTCACTAAAATTTACCAGAATTTTTAATATTATTTTTATTGTTGTTGTTTTTTTGTTTTGTTTTTTGGTACGTGCCCCTAGAGGGAACCGAACCCGGGACTCTCTGGTCCGCAGGCCGATGCTCCAACTGCTGAGCCAAACGGGCCAGGGCCAGAATTTTTAATTTTACACACACACACACACACACACACACACACACAGAAGCAGGGAAGTATGATAAAAATATTAATAAAGCCCTGGCCGGTTTGGCTCAGCAGTTAGAGCGTCGGCCTGTGGTCTGGAGAGACCTGGGTTCGGTTCCCACTAAGGGCATGTACCTCAGTTGCAGTTTGTCCCTGGCCCTGGTTGGGTCATGTGGGTGGCGACCACTCAATGTGTTCCTTTCACGTTGATGTTTCTCTCTCTCTCTCTCCCCCTCCCACTCTATCTGAACAAAATATCGAAAAATGTCCTCAGGTGAGGATTATTATCTCAGGTGAGATATTAATAAAAAAAATTTCAATGACAAATATATATTATATTATAATAAAAGCCAGTGTAGAAATAGAATGGAAATATGAGTTCAAGAAGAAACCATGTAAATTTCCTATGATTAAAGACTAACTTGTTTGCCCTGGCCAGTATGGCTCACTGGTTAGAACGTCAGCCCACAGACCAAAGGGTCACAGGTTTGATTCAGGTCAAGAGCACATACCTGGGTTGCAGGTTCAATTCCAGGCCCTGGTCAGGGTTGTTCAGGAGGCAACCAATCAATGTGTCTCTCTCACATCGATGTTTTTTTCTCTCTCTCTCTCTTTTCCACTCTCTCTAAAAACCAATGGAAAAATATCCTCCAGTGAGGAATAACAAAAACATAAAAAATAACTTGTTTAAAAGAATAGCTTGTGCATGTATCTTTTTAAATGGATGACAGTATTTAATCCTCTATGATATTTAGAATCACTTGGTACATTGTAAAAAGATATAACAGATTTATTTTAGAATGTCAAATTTTACAATATGCCTAAAATATACTCTTGCAACTATATTTATGGTGACAACTTTGAAGTGCCAACTTCAAAATGACAGAGAATAGTTTTTCAAATTTCTTTTAGGAGCAACATGGGGAAAAACCTTTGAATACCCCCATCCTGAGGAACACTGGCTGAGACCCAGCTCTGGGGCCTATTCCCCAGCTTGGCTGTGCCACAGCCCAGAGACTTCCTACCTGTTCATTCTCTCTCATCACCCTCCCAAGCCTTAGAGGCAGCAAATCTATTTCCTCACCCTCACCTTCAACTGGACTTGCACAAACACAGACTCCCACGTAGAACTTGCCATTGTTAAAGTCAACAAAATCTAGGGGTGAGAAAGAAAACCAGTAGAAGATACTGATCCCTGTGCTTTACCCATATTCTTCCTGCTGATAACCAAATACATCTACCCAACATCCTCACCCACAAAATACTCTGATCAGAAATCAGACAGTGCCAAGTAAGGGAAATGAAGAAGTCACCACTGCTCACCCACATTCTGCTGTGTGATAGAGTGTGCCCAGCCATTGTAACCAAACATCTCATTGGCCAGATTAATTACCCTGTGACCTTCGATGTAACACACCTGGAAAACAAATTAAAGAAAGAAAAAAAAAAACTTGTTAAAATTTCTTATCATATTTATATGTAGATAAAAATTTACTTTATTCCTTACCAGCTTTTTTGGCAAAATTGCCCTTAAGTATTCCAGGAAAATTCTCAGTGAACTTATTGCAAAGGTCTTTCCTGAAGGAGCCAATTAGAATGAATGTTCTGTCTGGAGGGATTAGACTCAAGGGTAAAGATATCCACTTGCCTAGCAGTCTCCAAAAAAGTATACATCTCAGGCTGACATGTTACAGAAAACCAAAAACATACACAAAAGTTAAAATTAGAAACAAATGGCAAGAGACATATTTTTAAAGGATTGTGTAAAAATCCTGATGGCAGATATATAATCCTCAAGACAATGCTTGGGTCATTTCTGATGAAAATGAAGGCTAGAAGCCATGCCCTCCCAAAGGTACTAGGAAACATCAGTAATAGTGAACAAGAGACCTTCTGAATCCATGAGGACCCAGAGAGGAAGTTGGCAAGATCATCTGAGAAGTCAGCTATATTGGCACCCACTGTTCAGGTACATAAACTCTCCTACCTTCTGGCCTCCTCCAGCCATGCGGCTACTTATGTATTCTGGGCCCAGTCTCTGCCTCAGAGCATTCTGGATGGCCTGGTACTCTCCTGCTGTGTACTGGTACTACAATCCAGAATAAAAATTAAATTGACATTTCTAACATTCTTTATATCAATCAGCAAGTCTCCAACTTTTTGGTCTTCACACTCTACTACACTCTTAAAAAGTATTGTGGACCCTAAGAGCTTTTGTTTATGTGGGCTATATCTATCAATATGAGGAATAAAAACTGAGACATTTTTAAGACACACATTCACTAGCCATCAAAGCAATGATGTTATTACTGCTATTCAGTCTCTGGGAAACTCCACCGTTCACTCATGAGAGAATGAGAGTGAAAAAAGCAAGTAGTATTTTAGTATTATTATAAAAATAATTTTGACCTCATGGACTTTGAAAAGGTCTCGTGGATCCCCAGGGGCCACTGAACCACATTTGGAGAACCACTGCCTGAGATGTTACTACCATCCCTACAAACTTTCTCAAGCCAGAATTGCGAAACTAAAGACTCCCACTTCTGAGTCTGCATGACACTGACGCAGGCAAAGGAGGAGAGGAGGGAAAACACGACAGGGGTCTCCCAGTATCTTCTCAACAGCTGTGTGCCTATTCTTCAACTGAACAATTTCCCATCCTACACAGATAAATATACTACTACTTGTTTGGATTTTTGTCCCCTTGGATGTTTCCCCCTTACCCCATTTAGATGAAATAAATACAAACATCTCTAGTAAAGAGAAAGACAGAATTTGGGTGGACAAAATGAGGCTCTTTTATATGCACTGGGTATCTCTACATAGAATGACACCAGAACTTTGATGCCTCCAAAACAGAGAACTGGGTGAAAGGTGGGCAGGAATGATAGGGAAATAGTAAAACTGTTCACATATAATCTTTGTTTCATTTTGAATGTTATATCATATGAATATGTAATCTATCCAATAACTAAATAAAATTTAAAGCTAAATGTAATCCCCACTACTATTAGTCTTTTGATGCTAAAGTTCCAAACTGCCCTGAGTTCATCAAAAGCTCCCAAATAATACATCTAAAGGAAAAACTAATAAAATAGTTTACATGTGTACACGATGGTGCTCTACAAACTGCTTCCTGATATCTTTTTCACTTAACTTCATTCTTTGCAGGGGTGAAAAACCCAAACCATTACCTGTCCAAAGCATAATAAAGAGTTGCCGCCAGCAGAAAAGGGATGGCTGTCAAAGGCTCTAAGAATTGCTTCCTCAGTCCCAGACATGTTGATTCTGGTTGGCCTCTATATAAACAGAAGATTTTTAAAAGAGCTCAAAGAATGCTAAAGTCAAAAGGCAAGAGCCCTTACTAAAAAATCAGATGAAACATCCATATACAACATCCCACGAGTCACTTTATTTACATACTTGTAAACACTGACCCATTCAAGGACTAAGTTCCTCAGTGCTTAGCTACAGACGCACATCCCCTGTAATTCTTTTAGAGGCTGCTTCTACTTTTCTGCTAAAAATTTTGCTAGGATGATAGTGCTAATAAAGGGGGTTTTTATAATGAGAATGTATTATAAACACATATTACAACTATAATATTCATAAATGAAAAAGTCTAAATTACAAACACTCTAAGGGAGAGTAATCACCTTATCATCACCTACTACATGTACAACTCAACCCTGGCCTCTGTGGGGTCAACAAAAAAATGTAAGCCATAGTAACTGAACTGTTTGCCAGGCGCTAACAAGCCAGCTGGTGGAGAAGACTAATAGACATGAAACAATTAAAGAGCAAGAAAAGGTAACAGAAGACTCCTAGAGCATCAGCTTCACCTGGAACTTGTTAGAAATGTAAACTCTCAGGCTCCACCCCAAACCTATTGAATCAGAAACTAGACATGAGGCCCAGGAATTAGTGCTCTACCAAGCCTACCAGGTGATTTTGATGCAAGCTCAAGTTTGAGAGCCAGTGCATTAGACTGAGGCTGTGCAAATCTATAACCCATTAGAAAACAGAATTACTCTCAGAAAGGCACCTGCAACTGGCTGACCCATTTTTTCTGACTATTCCTACACTTGTATTAAATCAGATTCAAAGTTGGTGTCTCAGCAAATTTATGTTATAAATTTTCGGATTCACTAATAGAACTATAAATATGATTGTAAAAAGGTTTGATTCTCGCCCAGCTCGGGTGGCTCAGTGAACTGAGCATCGTCACATAGACTGAGAGGCCCCGGTTCCATTCCTGGTCAGGATACATGCCTGAGCTGCAGGCTCGATCCCCAGTAGGGGGTGTGCAGGAAGCAGTTGATGGATGTTTTTCTCTCACATCAATGTTTCTCTCTCTCTCCTCCTTCCTCTTTCTCTAAAAAATCAGTAAAAATTATTTTTTTTAAAAAAGGTATGATTCTCCACGTGGCATTTTAATATAATGTTTAAGAGTTCAAGTTCTGCCCTGACCAGTTTGGCTCAGCAGTTAGAGTGTCAGCCCTTGGACCAGAGAGTCACAGGTTTGATTCCAGTCAAGGGCAGGTTTGTGGTTCGGTCCCGGCCCTGGTTGGGGTCATGCAGGAGATAACCAATCAACGTGTCTCTCTCACATTGATGTCTCCCTCTCTCTCTTTCTCTCTCTCTCTCTCTCTCTCTTTCTCTCTCCTCCTCCCACTCTATCTGAAGATAAATGGAAAAATATCCTTGAGTAAGGATTAAAAATAAAAAAGAGTTCAAGTTTTAAATGTCAGTTTCTGGCTCTATCGCCCACTAGGTGCTTGACCAAGGGGAAAATATCGCATAATGTCTCTAAATGTTGTTTTCTCATGTAGAAAATAGAGATAATAATAGTACTATAAAGATTTATTTAATCTTTTTTTTTTTTTTTAATGTCCTCACCCAAGGACATTTTTTCCATTTTTTGTTCAGATAGAGTAGGAGGGAGGGAGAGGAAGAGAGAGAGAAAGAGACATCAATGTGAAAGGGACACATCGAGTGGCTGCCACCCACACGACCAACCAGAGGCAGGGACAAACCAAACAAGATATGTGCCCCTAGTGGAAACCGAACCCGGGTCTCTCTGGACTGCAGGCCGACGCTCCAACTGCTGAGCCAAACTGGCCAGGGCAAGATTTATTTAATCTTTATTTGCTGCATGAAACTGCATTCAAATAGTGTCTGGAACATATGAAGTATTAAATAAATGTTAGTTATTGCTAAAATTCACAGTAATTTTCTTACGTACAACATGTGGAAAATGCAGAAAACTAAAATGATCATAAAACATTACAGTTCAGTTAAGAATGATAAATTTATTTATAATACAGCACTAAATAGTAGGATAGTGAGCTAAACTAGGTTAATTATTAGGGTCTAAAATTGATACATCAAGAAATAATGGAATAAAGATATTATTTAGACTGTAACTGTAAAGGCCAGAAAAGACCATTAAAAGCATGCCGCATGTCTGTCTGAGTGGTAATGGGAAGGAGTAAAGTGCAGCAGGAATCTCCTTTTACAAAATAAAGCTTTTAGCACTATTTGATTTTCAAACATGTGCAGGTATTATTTTAATAAAAACAAACATAAAAAATGTAAATACCTATTCTATAAAGCAGGAATCACCAAACTTTTTCTGTGAAGGCCCAAATAGTAAATATTTTAGGTATTGCAGGCTATCTGATCTCTGTCACAACTGCTTAGGAAAGCAGCCATAAACAATATGTAAATGATTGGGCATAGTTGTGGCTCAATAAAATTTTATTACAAAAAAAAGGTGGCACATTTGACTCACAGGCCACAGTGTGCCAACGCCTGCTATAAAGTATGCTTTAAACATTACAGTCAGATGTGGTTCAATATCCACAATTTAAGTTACTTAAATTCCATAATTACTTAACAGCTCTGTGCTGTTTACAAATGTCCTCACTTGTAAAAGGGAATATTAATAAAATCAACTTCATAAATTTATCATATTAAAATGATGTGGTCATAGCAGCCTCCAACAAGATGCATCATTGTATGCTAAAAGTTGTGGGGGAACAGGATATTCACAAAGTCTCAAATGAGCACCTGTCTGATTATTTGTTAAAAACAAAAGGGTATGACACCTGGCTGATGTGGCACAGCAGTTAGAGCATCGGCCTGCCCACGGAAGGGTCATGGGTTCGACTGCCGGTCAAGGGCACCTACCTAGGTTGCAAGTTCAATCCCTGGCCCCAGTTGGGGCACATGCGGGAGGCAACCAATTGATGCATCTCTCCCACTTCAATGTTTCTCTCTCTTTCTCTCTTCCCCACTTCTACTCTCTCTGAAAATCAATGGAAAAAAATATCCTCAGGTGAAGATTAAAAACAAAAAACAAACAAAAAGGGAATATACATTGTGAATGGACTTAATGCCACTGAACTGCATGCTTTAAAATGGTTAAATAAATTATACATGTATATTTTACCACTAAAAAAAATAGTTCTGGACAGTTTTGTTCAGCGGTTAGTGTCCGCACGTGAACCAGAGTTGTGGGTTCAATTCTGGTCAAGGGCATGTACCTCGGTTGCAGTTCAGGCCCTGGCCCTGGTCAGGGTCATGTGGGAGACAACCAGTCGATGCGTCTCTCACATCAATGTTTCTCTTTCTCCCCCCACCCGAACTTTATCTGAAGAAAAATGCAAAAATATCCTCAGTGAGGATAATAATAAAAAAAAAAGCTTAACACAATAAAGATTCATATCTCTAAAGGTTCATATCTCATCCCATATAAGATCTAATGCAGTCTGGTGCCCTTGTCCATCTTGTAGCTGTGTCATGTAGCACATGTGACCTCCAAGGTCATAGTGGCAGGGGTAGAGAAAGTTGAAGAAGTCACAACAGGTCATAGGGGCCGTAGGCCATAAATGGGCAGAACTTGTCACATGGCCCCAACTTAATTGCAGTGGAGGCTGGGAAATGTAAGAAAGTAGCTGAATATTTGGTGAGTACCATCTCTGCCACACCCATCTTCCCCCACTCCAATATGAGCTCCTAGAACATCGGTTCTCAACCTGTGGGTCGCACCAGTAGCATAATTACAGTTATGAAGTAGCAACAAAAATAATTTTATGACTGGGGGTAAAGGGTTGCAGCATTAGGAAGGTTGAGAACCACTGTCCTAGAAGGTGGGGGATTCCTTCTGATTCATCTTGGCACCCCCAGTGACTAGCACAGTACCTTATGTACAGTAGGGGGTCAGGAACAAAACCGAAATGTTTGATTAGTAATAAAATGAATAGACGAGGGAAGGAGTGAAATACATACTGCAGGCTATACAGACAAAGTATATTTATTATTTTTGTTGTTGTTATTAATCCTCACCTGAGGATATTTTTTCTGTTCATTTTTAGAGACAGTGGAAGGAAAGGTTCGGGAGAGTGAAGGGAGGGAAGGGGAGAAACATGGGTGTGAGAGAAACACACTGATTGGTTGCCTCCCACACACACCCCGAGAGTGGCCAGGGATTGAACCTGCAACCCAGGTACATGCCCTTGACCAGGAATGGTACACTATGGTGTGTGTGTGTGTGTGTGTGTGTGTGTGGTGGTGGTGGGGCAGGGGGTGGGGTGGGGGTGGGAAGCAGGCATTCTAACCACTGAACAACACTGGCCAAGTCTATTTAATTCTTTAAAACTAATTTTATAAGGCAAGAGTTATACTTCTTACATATAAAAAGCAACTTGTTGGCACTTTTCTAAACAATATCATAAAAGATTCAACCTTTTGTTGAAGAAAAGGACAACCCTTATCTGCCCAAAAAATAAAACATGGAATCACCTTTCTAGTTTCTACTTGGAAACAATGCTTACTGCTCTGCCATCCTTTATAAATTGTTTATAACTATTCTCCTATTACTAAATTAAAATCTTGTCCTGGCCAGGTGGCTCAGTTGGTTGGAGCATCGTCCCCTACACTAAGAAGTTGTGGGTTCGATTTCCAGTCAGGGCACATACCTAGGTTGTAGGTTCAACACCCAGTCGGGGTGCCTGCAAGACGCAACTGATCGATAATTTCTCTCTCACATTGATGTTTCTCTCTCGCTCTTTCTTTCTCTCCCCCCCACCTTCCTTTCTCTAAAAATCCCTAAGAACATATCCTCGGGCCCTGGCCAATGTGGCTCAGTGGAACATTGTCCTGTACACTGAAACCTCTCGAGTTCAATTCCCAGTCAGGGAACATACCCAGGTTGTGGGTTTGATTCCTGGTCAGGGTGTATGTGGGAGGCAACCAATCATTTCTCTCTCACATTGATGTGTTGTCTCTCTCCCTCCTCCCTTCTTCTCTCTCTGAAAAAAAAAAATCAATAAAAACATATCCTTGGGTGAGGATGACAAAAACGTAAAATATCTCTTTTATAGAAACTTTTAATCATATATCAAAAACTATGAGTGGAAGTAAATTTTGGCTAGATCCTCACCAGCAAGAGATGACTGTTGTCTTTTTTTTTTTATAAGTGATTGTGTAGAATCCAAATGTATCAGGCATATTTTATGTAGCAGCATCTCAAGTCTTCTCAGCCTTGCCTGTGGTCCCTAATTACTTGTTTTCATCCCAGCTAATTAGGCAGACCATAAATATGTTGGTTCTAACCAACTGCACACAGGCACAACCAATGGTTCCTTACTTTTTTTTTGGTACGTGCTCCTAGCAGGAACCGAACCCGGAACTCTCTGGTCCTCAGGGCAATGCTCCAACCACTGAGCCAAACCGGCCAGGGCGGTTCCTTACTTCTTGCTCATGCTGGATGCCTTTCACCTCCCACCCTTGGTTTCCCTCTTGACTTTGAGGTGCGAGAACCTGTGGGGCCCGCCTAATGCCCACACATGCACAATCTGAAAGCTTTGGGGAGTAAATGTACCATGGGGCAAAGTTTTTACCAATAAGATACAGAAGCTGAAGGGTAAATCTCCTTCCTTCCTTTGGGTGGATTGACCTGGGACGCAATACTTTACACATCCTCCTGGGAGACAGCTTTAGGAAATCAAGCAATCAGTTGTACTTGTTACTAAGGGGTGGCCAACTTGGAAATGTACCCTTGAACTGACTTAATCTTCCATCTCTCCTCAATCCCCCTTTCCCTCACTTCTGCCTACTAAAATTGCACTTCCTGAAAACATAATGGCATGTAAACTTTTGCATCAAGCTCCAGGTTCTAGGGTAAGCAAGTACAGCAGACACTATGAATGCTCTGCCAATTATCCCTTCAGCTCTTACAATAGTGCACGCTGGTCTAACTTCCAAATGCCAATAAGTGCATCTCTTTACCTGTAGGCTTCCTTTGGCATTCAGGGCCCATTTTGCACCTATTAATGTTAAGCTGGAAGCACCAGAGAATTGATACCCTGGAAGCAGCCTCAAACAATGATTGACAGGAGTTGGTGTGTAAGGACCCTAGATTTCTTGCCCATTCTGTGAAATAACACTGAGCTTAGTTCTGTACTGGCTCAGAGTTCCTCAGTGAAATTAGGTTTCATTGCCTACCAGTGGTAACTGGCTTGACAACTACCTCTGTTGAATGACTTTTCTTTCTCACCTCACTTTTTCTCTCCGCTACCAGTATGACCTGGGGTCGTCTCCCAAATAAACTACTTGCACTTGAAGATAAAATGTGGGGGATGAGGATATGTGCGTGCAAAAGATAGCTTTACCACGTAATCAAGTAATCAACCATAATGTCACCTATAATAGTCACACCATGTGTTTTCTGAAGGATGAACTGAGAAGGTCACAACATCACTTAGGCAGTATTCTACCAATCTAATCATGACTCTGATCATGAGGTAATAATCAGACAAGTTCAAATCTACAACTAGACTCTTCAAAAGTGTCAATGTCTCAAAGAACAAAACAAAGTAAAAAAAAAAAAAAGGTCTAATAAAGTCTTCTAGATTAAAGAAGACTAAAGAGCACAGCAGCCAGTGTGGCTCAGTGGTTGAGCACTGACCTATGCACCAAGAGGTCGTTGGTTCGATTCCTGGTCAGGGTTCGTGCCCAGGTTGTGGGCCTCATCCCCAGTGGGGGGCATGGAGGAGGCAGCCAATTGATGTTTCTCTCATCGATATTTCTATCTCTCTCTCCCTCTCCCTTCCTCTCTCTCTAAAACCAATAATAAAGAAAAAAAAAAAGACTAAAGAGACAAGACAATTAAAATGCATGGTGTGATCCTTGATAAGATTTTAGATAAGAAAAAAAAACTATAAAGGTTATTACTGGGACAATGGGGAAGTTTGATGATGGACTGCATATTATATGATGGTCTTTTACCATTGTTAAACCTATTGAGTGTGATAATTTATCATAGTTATGTAAGAGATATATGATAAAGTATTAGAGTAAATCAGCATGTTTTCTGCACCTTTCGAATCATTCAATAAAATGTGAGTGTATGTGTGCGCACATGCAAAGAGAGGAAAAGAAAAAGATAAAGCAAACTAACAAACTTATGAATCTAGTGTATGCCCATATTCACTGTGTAACTTTACTGAAGGCTTCAATTTTTTCAAAATAAAATGTTAGGCAAGACTTCCTAACAGTCAAAGTTATGGTGCTACATAAATCCAAATATCTCAATGCATCCTCCAAAAACTATACAGACCAATAAAACCACAAATATCCCTATCTTCTAACATAATTAGAAGACTGAAAATACTATAAACTTCAAGTAGCATGGAAGTATAAAAACTAAACATCAATTTCTGGTGGAAATATTTCTCAAACTCTCGTCCAAACTCTTTAAGGAAAGCAAGGTGGGCCCCAGATGGGAAAGGAAATACATAGAAGAGAGAAGAGGATGATGGAGAGCCTAGGTAGAACTAAAATCACTCCTGGAAAGAGAAAACCCACACTAAGTATAAAGATACTGACAAAGTGTTCTGGTAGACCAGTGTAGTCTAGAACTCAATGAGGCAGTCTTGAAAGTCAATGTTTCTGGGGAGAAGAGGTTGAAAGTAAGGCGAGATGCCCTTTGAAACTGTCCTGTGAAGGGAAAAAGAGGGAATATATGGGATCCTGTAATACAAGGGAAAATTTCAAAATCAAAGGACATATAACCATACCCCGCAAATAGGAACCACCCTTGAACAAGGAATCTCATAAGTCATCCCAACTGTCAATCCTATTCACAAAATGCAAAATTAGAGATAAAAAAGAGTCAGTGAACTCAAAGACTAAAAATAATGAAAGAGCTTCAGGGTTCTGTGGGACAATATCAAAATGCCTAACATGCATATAATTAAGGTCCCAAAAGAAGAGGTTAAAGACAATGGGAAAAAAATATTTTAAAAAATAATGGCTTGCCTGGCCAGTGTGGCTCAGTGGTTGAGCGTCAACCCATGCACCAAGATGTTGCCAGTTTGATTCTTGGTCAGGGCACATGCCCAGGTTGTGGGCCAAATCCCCAGTGGGGGGCATGCAGGAAGCAGTCAGTTGATGCTGTTTCTCATCGATATTTTTATCTTCTCTCCCTTTCATTTTCTTTCTCTCTAAAATCAATTAAAAAAAAAATTTTTTTTAAATAAAAAATAATGGCTTGAAATTTCCCAAGTTGGGTGACATGCATAAATGTATACATTTACAAAGCTCAGCAAACCGCGAAGCAAGATAAATACAAAGAAAAACACACCTAAACATATCATAGACAAATTGCTAAAAACCAAAAATAAAGAGAAAATCTTGAAAGCAGTCAGAGAAAAATGGCACATTATGTACCAATACAAATGATGGCTCCATTTACAATGGAGTTTTTTTTAAAAACACACTTAGGAGTAAATTTAATGAGAGATGTGTAAGACTGCTGCACTGAAAACAAAACAGTACTAAAAGAAATTTTAAAAGACCTAAATAAGAAGGGAGATGTACCATGTTCATATATTTGAAGACTCAATACTGTTTAGATGTTAATTCTTCCCAAATTGATCTAAAGATTCAATGTCATCCCAATCATAAGCCTATTAGTCTTTTTTGGGTAAAATGATGCTTCTAATATTTATATGGAAAATGCAAAGGATCTAAATTATCCAAATCAAACTTGAAAAACAACAACACAGTTGCTGACCTACACTATATGACTTCAAGACTTATGCTAACACTCTAGTAATTACAACAGTGTGGTACTTACTGATAAGGGTTGATCAAAGGAACAGAAAAGAGAGTCCAGAAATCAGCTGCCATTTCTAAAAATATATGAATTTCAATAAAGGTACTAACAAAATACAATGGCGTTTTCAACAAATAATGCTGGAACAACAAACTGTATGAAAAATGTTTTAATATTTTTTACAAAACATTTCACACCATTCATAAAAACTAGAGATGGATCATAGGCCTAACTATAAAAGCTAGAACAATAAACTATCCAGAAGAAAATACAGAGAAGTATGTCTTTATAACCTGAAACTAGCCAAGATTTCTCAGACAGTACTCAGAAACCATTAACTATAAAAGGAGGAAAAAAAAAAAAGACAAATATGACTACATCAAAATATAAAACTTTGCTTATCAAAAAAAAAAAAAAGCCATGAAAATGAATAGGCAACCACAACAGACTAATATCTAGGATATTAAAAGGATATATAAAGAACTCCTACAACTCAATAATGAAATTGGACAAAGATTTAAACAGGCATTTTACAAAAGTGTGGGAAAAAGCACTCAACAACATTCTAATCAAGAACTAAAATTAAAACCATAATGACAAACCACTCAATACCCACCAGAATGGTTAAAAATAAAGACTGACAACACCCAAAGTTGGCAAGGATGTGAAGCAATTAGAACTCTCATACACTGTTGGCAGGAAACAGGGTGATAAACATATGCTACCCTTCATGGAAAAGGTGAGAATAACCTGAAGATGGAGCTGCAGATCCAGAGGGTAAAGCAACAGGCCACAGACCATTAGTCTCAGGCCTTGAACCTAATGGGTTTTTTTTTAATTCCTCACCAGAGGATATTTTTCTGCTTATTATCAGATAGAGGGAGGGAGACAGAGAGAGAGAGAGATAGAGGAAAACATCGATGTAATAGAACCATATCAACTGGTTGCCTCCCGTACAACCCCACCAGGGCCCGGAACGAACTGCAACCGAGGTACCTGCCCCTGACTGGAATCGAACCCGCGACTCATTGGTCCATGGGCTGAGCCAAACCAGCCAGGGCGAACCTAATGGTTCTTCATATACTTTGTATATCAGCCCTTTGTCAGACAGGTGTCAGCACTTGCTTGTTCCTTTTCTTAAAGTTGTCTTTGAAGAGAAGTTTTAAATTTTGATGTAATCCCATTTATATATATTTCAAGTGAGTATTGCTTTCTGAGTCTTACCTAAGAAAACCTTTTGTACACCCCCAGTTCATGAAGATAGTCTTCATAGTTTCTAGAAGCCTTATTAGTTTTAAGATTTTGGAAATAAATCTGATAATCTCTTTAGAAATTAAATATGCTGCCCAGCTGGTGTGTCTAGTGGTTGAGCATCGACCCATGCACCAAGAAGTTGCTGGGTCAATTCCCGGTCAAGGCACATGCCTGGGTTGCAGGCTCGATCCCCAGTAGGGGGCAAGCAGGAAGCAATCGACTTTTTTCTCTCACATCAATGTTTCTATCTCTTTCCCTTGCTCTATCTCTAAAAAATCACTTAAAACCTATTATTTAAAAAAAGGTAAACAAGAGTGGGAAACATTTTTATTCTTATCCATTCTCTTATTACCTAAAAGCATTTCTAATTACATGTGGAAGAAGGCAGGAAGAAATAAGAGAGAATGAAGCATATTACATAAGGAAATTTTCGTCTTTTGTCTAACCTCTATCATTTTTCTTCTTTATTGATTTTAGAGAGAGAGGAAGGGAGAGGGGAGAGACATAGAAGATCAATGAGAGAGAACATTGATTGGTCGCTTCCTGCATGCCCCCCACTGGGGTTTGGGCCCACAACCTGGGCATGTGCCCTGACCAGAAATTGAACCAGCAACCTTTTGGTGCATGGGTTGACGCCCAACCACTGAACCACACCAGCCGGGCCCTCTTTTCATCTTTAAAGACAGGAGAGGGCATAATCATGAAGGGTAATAGAATCCATCTTTAAAAGCTTAGAACTTGAGCCCCGTCCAGTTTGGCTCCATGGTCAGAGCATCAGCCCACAGACCAAAGAGTGTTAGTTTTGATTCCCGGTCAAAGGCACATACCTGGGTTGCAGGTTGGATCCCTGACCCAGGTCAAGGTCATGCAGGAGGCAACCTATCAATATGCCTCTCTCCCATCGATGTTTCTCTCTCTCCAGCCCTCCCTTTCACTCTATCTAAAAATCAATGGAAAAATATCCTAGGGTGAGGATTAACAAAAAATAATTAAATGAAAGCTTGGAACTTTAGTTTGTAAACTATGGGGAAGCAATGGAAATTTTAAGCTGAGAACACTAAAATGATATATAAGCCTCAGAAAGCTCTTTGTCAACAGTGAATAATTGAGGAAGAGATCAGTTAGGAGTCTATGTTACAACAATCATGAAAGAAAATGATAAAGGCTCAAAGATGATAGAAATGTAAAGAAAGGATGGACTCTGAATATGTATTACAGGAAGCAGAATTGACAGGACTCTGATAGGTGAGGATCAAGAACAGCAGGATTGGATATCAAGGGTTTTTTCCTTTTATTTTCAGTTATGTACATGCTGCTATAATTTTTATGACAAAAAAAATTAACAAGAGCAGTAAAAACATTTTTTAAGTAAAAAGAAGGAACTAGGTCTCAAAATGTCATCTCCTCACTACACTCTAAATAGAATTAATCCTGTATTCCCAGAGCATTTTGGACATATGTCAAATCACATATCACACATAATCCTAATCCAGGCATTTGAGAACAGAGGGGCCATATACTAACTACCGAATCTCCAGCACTTAACATAGTCCCTACACAGCACATAATATAAAGAGCATTTTAGCTTCTCTCTACTTCAAAACTGCCTATCTGGTATCAAAAATGTATACCTTAAGTAGAAAAATGTTAGTCACAAAGATTAAATATATCCACACTAGGCTTTCTGTCCTTGAATATTTAAAATGGTTATACAGTAATTTCTCATTATTCATAGTAGTTATATTCTATAAAGTCACCATGAACATTGAATTATCAAGTACTGAACCACTATTCCTAGGAGAAATACAGGGTTAGATTCCTGCAAGCCTTTGGACACATTTTCACCAGTCAGTAGATAACCTTGTTTCATGTGTGTTTCTGTTTAAAGACATCTTATTTAACATATATTACTGATTCATCAACAATGAATTCAGTGCTGAACAAAGTTTATCTAAAACAAGCTTGTCTTTGCAAGGCACATCACAACTTTCTTGCATTTAACAGACAGCACTTCAGCAATATGCTTGGAGGCCTTTCCATACAGTAAAATCACCAACAAAAAGCACAAAATGTGAAGAAAAAAACACCTGGCACTAAATATACCCACAACAAGGACTCTCATTTCCTGTATGAGAGTTGAAACAAGAAGGTAGAGCATCGCCTGTTTTAACCTCAACTGGGAACAGGATCATTGGACAACTCAAAATTTTCGGTACTCTACCCATCTGCAAAAGTGCCCTGAGTATCAATTTGGTATTTCAAAGAAATCTTAGCCAGTAGATAAATTCGTAAATGCAGACCTAACGAATAAAAAGATCGACTGTCGCTTTGGGGTAAAACTACTCTCCCACAGCTATCTTGGTTACATTTTCATACACTCATCTCCAACCACACCCAGTTCGTTCATACACAAGGTAACAGGTCATGGCATACATTGCACAGCAGCATTTCTAATGAGAACTGCACACAAACATTTTTCTGCTTGTCACCACTGCAATTAATGGTCTAATCAGTGCTGAATTGAGAAGACCTTAAAAATACAAATTTCTCTAAACCGAGGTCACTGAAATACTTGACCCAATCCCAAAATTAGACTGAGAGTTCGTTCTGTGGAGGAATTGACCTTAAAAGGTCTAGGAAGCCAAAAACCGGAAGGGGGGGCACGACGACCCTA